GTCTTCAGTGTATATTTTGGGTGCTGCAACTGGTAACCATTTTGTCACAGTTTAGCTTTTTGTAGTTCATTTAAACTGTCAAACAATGTTAACAAATGAATTTTTACAAATATAAAAATGTAATGTCGTTTCTCTGTTTAATATGTGGCCATAAAGTATGCATACATAATAATTATGCAAATACAAAAAAAAATGTTTGTAGTGGTTTTGGACACTGCTGTCACTGCTTGATGTATCATATCAAGTAGCCAATAACATGTTTTGCGAATACAATAAGATATTTGTCATGGCTACTAAGGAGAATCAGGTGCCTGGAGTTCTGGAGAAGAGCATGCAGTCACTGTATTGTGTTTGCTCTCACAGGACATGGTGAACCGGAGGATCTCCATGGACATGATGCTGAAGATTGCTGCCAGTCAGCGATACAGACAGTTTATTTTCCTCACACCACAGAGCATGAGGTAAAGAGCTTCTCTAGTGTTCATGCAGAAATGTGTAGATGTACAGTGCCCTCCATAAGTATTGGGACAGTAAAGACAAAATTGCTCTGTTTGCTGTGGAGTCAAGATATCTGTAAATATGATTAAAAGATGAATATGAGACAAAACTACAGAATGTCACATTTTATTATTGGGTGATTCAACACGTAGATGTTTTACCAGCTAAGAAGTTCAGCACTTTTAGAGTTTCATCCCCCTATCTGATGTGAGCATAAGTATTGGCACAGTTGCCTCTCAGGTCTGTGATCAAGTAATCAGCTGTGTCCTGTTGCATTAATTGATCAGATATTAAAAGCAGGGAATGTGTTGTATCAGTTATATCCATTGCTTCTGCATTCTGAGTCTTGCATTTGATGACGACACACACAAACCAGGATGAAGACGAGGGAGCTGACTTTGAGAGAAATGCAAGCAATTTGGATGCTAAAAGAAAAGAGGAAGTCAATTACAGCTATAGCAAAACAAAGGGCATGGAGAAATCAAGAGTTTGGAAACCACTGGCGACATCAGCAACCAACAACGACCTGATCGACTGGGAAAAAAACAACAATAGTTGATAACAGACAAATCATAAAAGCTGTGAAAATGAACCCTAAAATATGTGTCTGTAAAATCACCAACAACCTCGAAAGCTGGGGTTGATGCTCTGACAATCTACTGTCCGCAGGAGACTTTGACACAGAATTACAGAGGCTACAAAGCAAGATGCAAACCTCTGATCAGTACCAAAAATAGAAAGGCAAGATTAGAGTTTGCACAAAAGCACAAAGGTGAGCCAGTAGAGTTTTGGAACAGAGTTTATGGACCGATGAGACAAAGATTAACCTTTATCTAAGTGATGGGAAAGTAAAAGTGTGGAGAAAAAAGGGAACTGCAAATAATCCTAAGCATACAACCTCATCATCAGCAGCATGCATGGCTGTCTCTGGAACAGGCACTCTGAATTTTAATGATTACTTAATGTATGATGGCAGTAGCAGAATGAATTTGGAAGAGTACAAAACCATCTTGGCTACCAATATTAAAGAAAATGTCACAAGACTCATCAGAAAGCGCTTCATATTGCATCAGGACAATGACCCAAAACACCCTGCCAGTTCAGTCAAGGAGCTTATCAGGGCAAAGAAATTGAAAGTCTTAGATTGGCCAAGTCAATCTTCAGATTTAAATCTGACTGAACATGAATTTCACTAGCTGAAGAGGAGAGTAAAGGCAGAAACTCCCCAAAACAAGCAACAGTTGGAATTAGCTGCATTAAAGGCTGGGAAAAGCATTTCAAAGGATAAGACCAAGAGTCTGGTGATGTCTATGGGTCGCAGACTCACTGCTGTGATTGCATGCAAGGGATCTGCAACTAAATAATAGCTTTTAATCTTTTACATTTGCCTTAAGTTCAGCTGTCCCAATACTTATGCTCACATCAGGTAGTGGGATGAACTCTAAAAGTGCTGTCCTTTTTATTTGGTAAAACATGTATGTGTTGAAACAGCTAATAACAAAATGTGACATTCTGTAGTTTTGTCTCGTATTCATCTTTTAATCATATTTGCACATATCTTACTTAACTACACAGCAAACAAAGCAATTTTGTCATTACTGTCCCAATACTTATGGAGGGCACTGTAGTTAGATTAGAAGACATGATTGTCTTATTTTGTATCATTTATAACACAGTTTTAAATTGATAGCCCTAGTAAAAATGTAATGTTCCGTTCTTTCTGTATCCCAGTTTTCTGCCAGTCAATAGCCTGATCCGCATCATCCGTCTGAATGACCCTGACCGCAGCCAGTCTGTCAACCCAGCCCTAGTCAACCCAGAATGATGCTGCTATCCTTTGAACATCTTATGTGCATCAGGCAAATCAAGTCAAATCAGGCAAAGTACTTACAGCTGACAGATGCACTTTACAGTTCTATGCACACAAGTTTACTGGCTTTTTTTCTAAGATCATTTAAATTTACATTTATAAATAATTGTATTTAAAACCAAAATTTACAGGTTCTGTTTTTTTAATTTTTCTAAAATAGTTTTTAGGTTTTATAAAAAATTTTGTGATTGCAATGTTATTTGCATTTGTACCTGTTGAATAAGGCATATAAAGGCCAGTTATAGCTTGTTGCTGTTATTTGTTTTTATTTCATTTTCAGTCTTCCATTGTTTTATTTTTATCACTGAACTAATTAAGAAATTAAAATGTTTCTAGTATAACAAGAAATAATCTGTCGCTATTTTGTTTGATCATTCAAAAATGCATAGTTTTGTATTACTGGTGTAACAGTATGGAAAAATGAAAAGTCTGTTTCAGTTGAAGGAAATCACATGAGAGATATGAGAGAGAATCATATTACCTGTTTTCCATTTCCCTTTTTTGTATTTACAGAAAGTTATGAATCTTTAAACATTGACCTTGAATACATCCAGCTTCTGAATAAGCAGAATGCAAATAATGCTGTAAATTGTGGTTTCCCAGTAAAGCTTATGACATACAGTCACAATGGCACTGATTCAGTTCTGTGATCATCTTTAAAACTGTACTTCAGTAGCGACTACGTGATGGCGTCCATTTATTTTAGTCTCTTACTTGACTCACAGTTCCTCTTTGCTGAGTCAACATTTCATTGCTAGTTACATCCTGTCATTTTTTGAGGCAGTTCCTCTTGACATACATTTGTGGTTTTTATGATAGATTGTGTGCAAACTGGGGACTGAACATTATGTTGCCATTATGTTGCCTGTTCATTGCTCATTCATTGTTCACTGTTTCCTATTAGATTTTAGTCAGAATATATTCAAACATATAGACTGAACCATCATTTACAGAGTTTTGAAATTTACCTTTGTGAGTTTTTGTCTGTGTATATTAACTTAAATCTTAAGTCAGAAATACTGTACATTTTAAATGTATTTTTCTGCTTAAAGATAGCTCTGGCAAATTATAGCAGAAACATGCATTTAAAATTTATAGTATTTCTTTGGAAAATGGTCCAAAAAAAAATAATGTCTCGTCATGAACTACGGAGATTGTTGTCCAATCAAATTCTCCGTATAATGAGAATGTCCCTCCCCCAATACCATCTGATTTATAAATATGTAAATATGATTAAATTGTATAGGTAACAGCTGTAATTTTTCAGATTGAGTATATTTTTAAGGATATACATGGATGTTTATTCATGTGGCAAAAAAAAACCCTGAAAACTATTTAAATGTTGAAAAAGGTATCATTTATAATTAACAAAACTAAGTCTTGCATTTATATAAATGAAATTAATATTACATTAAAAATATTTTTTTAATCACAGCATGGTTAAGAAAGCAAGACAGAATTAAATCATTATTATTTTGCATTTGCTGCTAGCTATTTTGTATAAATATGTAAAGAGCTACAAAATAGCTGCAACAAATTATCAGCTTGTAAAAAAAATTCCAGCACATTCCAGCATTGATTGGTCTGGCCATGAAACAGGTAGCGTAATAATTAGTGACTCTACAGTTACTGTTAGTAGATGGCTCTAATTTCAGGTCTCAAGTACTTTAGGTAATATAGGTGGCTTTCGTTTCATCCCTACAATATGAAGTACTGGTCTAAAATGGTTCATCCAGAAGTCATTCCTGGCCGTCAGACCTCGGTGGCATCAGCATAGAGCAGGAATCCAGAAAACGTGCTGTCGTCCTCGCTGCTGGAATAAACACCGTTCCAGTCCCGCAGAGTCTCCAGCCAGACCTGGTCTCCAGATGATAGACGCAGCACTGCCATGTTGGAGGCCTGGTCAATGTCCTGGCCGTAAAGTGAGTCGCGAGTTCGCAGTTTCCTAATGCCGTTCACCACCAGGGCTGCACGCAGGGGGCGATTACGCACTGTTATGTAGTAGGAAAAGACGTAAACTCCCCCATGAGTGCAGTTAAACTTACTGGCGTGGGGGTCCCAGTGACCCTCCTCATTGTAAATGACTTTATCAAACTTGATCGGCAGGCCAGGTGGTGGGAACGATCGGCTGGGAAAGAGACCAATGCTGAAGGCTGAGCGCTTCTGAACAGCGGGTTCACCCTTAAGGCCCTTGAGTCCCCTAAAACCTTGTGCTCCCTTCAGGCCTCGTGTGCCTTTCATCCCTGGCATCCCCCTCTGCCCTGGTGGTCCATGGGGTCCTGGAGGACCAGGCTCTCCCTGCTTACCTGGGGGTCCTGGGTCTCCCTTCGGACCCTTAGCCCCAGGAAGCCCATCTGTGCCATTCAGACCTGGCACACCCATGTCTCCTTTTGGCCCTTGAGGCCCTGGCTCCCCCATACTGCCTTTCTGTCCTTTCTCTCCAAATGGACAGTCTCCTTTGTCGCCCTTCTCTCTCTTGATGCCATCTGGTCCGGGGGGGCCAGCTGGTCCTCGTATGCCAGGCTCGCCCACCTCTCCCTTTGTTCCATTCCAGCCGGGCTCTCCCCTGCCCCCTGGGTCTCCTTTCAGCCCGGTTAAACCTGTATCTCCTTTGTCTCCTTTGAGGCCCATTTCACCTGCACACATTAAAAACAAGTGCAGATGATAGACGCAGCACTGCCATGTTGGAGGCCTGGTCAATGTCCTGGCCGTAAAGTGAGTCGCGAGTTCGCAGTTTCCTAATGCCGTTCACCACCAGGGCTGCACGCAGGGGGCGATTACGCACTGTTATGTAGTAGGAAAAGACGTAAACTCCCCCATGAGTGCAGTTAAACTTACTGGCGTGGGGGTCCCAGTGACCCTCCTCATTGTAAATGACTTTATCAAACTTGATCGGCAGGCCAGGTGGTGGGAACGATCGGCTGGGAAAGAGACCAACGCTGAAGGCTGAGCGCTTCTGAACGGCAGGTTCACCTTTAAGGCCCTTGAATCCCCTAACACCTTGTGCTCCCTTCAGGCCTCGTGTGCCTTTCATCCCTGGCATCCCCCTCTGCCCTGGTGGTCCATGGGGTCCTGGAGGACCAGGCTCTCCCTGCTTACCTGGGGGTCCTGGGTCTCCCTTCGGACCCTTAGCCCCAGGAAGCCCATCTGTGCCATTCAGACCTGGCACACCCATGTCTCCTTTTGGCCCTTGAGGCCCTGGCTCCCCCATACTGCCTTTCTGTCCTTTCTCTCCAAATAGACAGCCTCTTTTGTCACCCTTCTCTCTCTTGATGCCATCTGGTCCGGGGGGGCCAGCTGGTCCTTGTATGCCAGGCTCGCCCACCTCTCCCTATGTTCCATTCCAGCCGGGCCCCTGCCCCCTGGGTCTCCTTTCAGCCCGGTTAAACCTGTATCTCCTTTGTCTCCTTTGAGGCCCATTTCACCTGCACACATTAAAAACAAGTGGAATTTAAAATAAACGGCCCATTCGCAGGAAACTGTTACTGTATACTGTATTTCACTGCTTGATTCTTAAACCAATCCTGCTTAAGTAGTTACAGCCAGTAGTTATTCATCATTACCAACTCTAAAGAACTACATTATTTCAACCCCATCACAGAGAGTCTTTAATTCATATATTTAGATTACAGTAAATTCTGATAGTATCACTTAGTGTCTGTGTGCCTTGTAAGAAATTGCAAAGACTTTGATGTCACTACTTTAAAAAATATTGGGGGGAAATTTTGCATTATAACATAGAAAGTAAGGGACGGATAAAAATTCTAGATTCTCAAAAGCATTTTCCCAAAAAAATGTCTACATAATGAAAACGTAGTATAATAAATGCCAATAGTTATTTACCTCTAACCCTAAAGCTCTACATTATTTCAACCCCATCACAGTCAGTCTATAATTCACATACTTAAATAACTGAGTAAATTCTGATAAGTATCGCTTAGTTTCTGAATTTACACATAATAAAAAAAAAGTCATCTCCATTATTAGGAGATTAGCCATAACAGAATTGAAATATAAAGCTTCATGAGGTCAGTGTAAACAAAATGCTTAAAGTTACATCTCTTTGAACTGTGTGGTCTGAAAGATTTTTATGGCACTCCTTTGAATGTCTAAAAGATCAAACATTATTCTGGAAAGAGGGGGAAATGTCCCATCGTAACAGGGTTGAACAATAAGTAAGGGACCAAAGCAAATTATAGAATCTCAAAAAATGTGTTAAGTATTTTTGAAAAAAAAAAACTTAATAGTTAAAACATGCAATAACAAATACCAGAAGTTATTTATTACTTCTAATCCTAAAACTCTATATCATTTCAACCCTGTGACAGTTCATTTGTAATTCTTATACTTGGACAATGGAGTAAATTCTAATAGCACTGCTTAGTTTTGGTGTACCTTGTAAGAAATTACACATAATTCAAATAAATAAAAAATGATCACACTTATTAGGACTTCAAATATTGAGCTTGATAAGGTCAATATGAACTAATGAAATAATTATAAAGGCTGCAAAATAACCTGTAAAATATGCCCATAACAGAGTTGAACAAAGTAAGGGACAGATACAAATTCTAGATTCTCAAAAATTTATACAAAGCATTTTAGAAAAATAAATCAACATAATGAAAACATGGTATAATAAATACCAGTAGTTATTAATTCTAATTCTACAGTATTTCAACCCTGTCCCAGTTCAATTGCAATTCTTATATTAGATAACGGAGTAAAAAATGGTCATGTTATTAGGGCTTCACGATAACAGTTGTATTATTGAACCTGATAACTTTAATGTAAACATAATGAAATACTTATAAAGCCTGTAAAATAAACTTTTATTTGTGGTCAGAAAGACCACTCCCTTTAATATTATGTCAAACTATTATTTTGAAAAGGGTGGAAAGTGTCAAATAACAGATTGAACAAAGTGTGGGACAAAGACAAGTTCTACATTTTCTCTGGAGGACATGCTGCGTTTTATATATATATATATATATATATATATATATATATATATATATATATAAATACAATTATTGCTCTTAAAATTTCCTCATACTACATAGAGTTCTGTCAGATAATGTGTCAGCAGTTCAGTTCAGATAATTCAGTCCCCCCTCACCCCAGTGTAGTAGTAAACCATGGCACTATTTCCTGAGAACAGTCCATAAACCAACATAGCAAGCGTAACATGAAGTGAATCAAATACTGGGTTAGGGCTTTTGTCACAGATGAATGTACCTTTCTCTCCTTGTTTCCCAGTGACACCGAGAATCCCGGGTAGCCCACTCACTCCAGGATCACCTTTCTCTCCTGTTGGAGGAAAGGACATCTGTTAACAAACTTTCAAACATTATCTGTGAAGTAACCACAACAATAGGACATTGTGTTTAATGGGACAATGTTTAAAACGTTGCTGTTTTGGAAATGTGTTGTTTGGCTCACAGTGCTCAAAGAAAGATCTCTCCGGATATGTTTGCACTTTGTTCTCAATACCTTCACTTAGTATTGTCAGCAATGGATATGACTTAGCATCAAGCTAAAATTATTTGCACGTCTACTCTTTGATTACACTGTTTATCACAAAGAGATCTCCGTCTTTATGAATACACAGAGGTTTACTTGAAAACAAAAAACCTGAACACTGGTGTATTTATTTATTCCAGTGGTGAAGAGCTTGCTCGGGCTAGAAAGAGAGAAGAATCAGAGATTTAAGCTTTGCAGACAACCTTTTGTGTAATCCCAGGGAACTAGCATTACCAGTTTCAAGACAAATTGTAGGTTTTGCCAACTTGTGTGAGCATGCAGCACTAAAGGAAAGGGAGAAGTTCAGTCTATTTGATGTAGGCGTGGTAATTGTTTTTCCTTTGGTAGGGACACAGAAGGAGAAGCCTTTAGAATACACACAAACTCTATGCAATTCTCCTTAACTAAGGTCAAGTTCTTCTCCAGTGTTTGTCCTTCTTGCAAAACAAGGATATTTGTATACACAATCAACAGATGAGTGTCAATGCCCCTAATCCTTTGTTTATAACATTGGATAGACTAACTGCCATATGTGGAAGTTGTGAAAGAAAAAAATATGGTCCTTTTGTAAACAGTATTTGCCTAAATTCCTTTCCACTCCTGTATATGGAAGCTTTAGAACTTACAGTTGTAACATATCATTAACCACTAAGTTCTTTCTTTTTCTGCAGGTTACATTGCTTCACTGATCAACTACTTGCAAAACAATCTCTCAACCAATTTGTTGAAACACAGTTTGTGCATCCAAATATGCCTACTACCCTATACTATATAATAGGTGAAAAACAGCATGTGAAATTAGTGTGTCAGAATTTGTTGTATTCATTAAATAGTAGCCTAAATATACATGGATGACCTAGTAGGAGTTGTGAAAGGCAGTGAAGCGACGCAACATGACATATATAACATGGCATATGTAGTATGGCCAGGTTTCATTCATACTATACAGAACATACTATTTACTGGTTGCAAAGTTCGTGATTGTGTGAAATGTGATGTCGGACGCAGTCACCAATTAATTCGGACACAAACAAGTATATAAATAATGATTGAGTCATTGAATGGTTCACTCAACCATTTTGTTCAAAAACACTAATTGGGAAAATGGAATGAGAATGTAACGGGCAATATTGTGTCAAAAATGTAAGATACTCTACATTAACTTGTTTATTGAACTGTTTTGACCTTTTCCTCCATGAGGCCCCGGAGCGCCCGTGAGTCCATCCTGACCTGGGGGTCCAGGAGGTCCCATCTCCCCCTTTTCCCCTGGAATACCTTGCAAGATGACAAATACAGGGCAAAGTTTAATTAGGCATTTGACTGAGATACAGTAAATATCAACTAGACAACTACAACCCGTCTTCTTACCCGGCAATCCCTTTTCTCCCACCGGTCCTGGAGGACCTCTCTCTGGTGGACAGCACTCACAGAAGTTGAAAAAGCACTCGTTGTAGTCCAACGTGTAGTTCCCTGGGCCAGCCCCAGGAGGAACCATGGCCTCTGTGTGGTAGTCAGCAGAATAAGCATCACTGGAGTAGGTGGTGCTGTCTGTGGGGGAAGTAGAGTAAGTGTCCATCGTGGAGTCTGTGACTTCCTCTGTCATGCCACTGGTGGTGGGGCTCACAGTGGTGGTGATCGGATGGGACCCCAAGCGGCCGGGCGGCTGTGGAGGACCCCCTTCGTCTCGAGGTGGAGGCTTCTTAGTGGGTTTCAGTCGTGGCCACTGTGTGGTCTTGGGTAGTGATGCTTGATTCCCTGCTGTTACCACCAGCATGGCCATCAGCAGGATGACCGGGTGGACAATATTGGGCATTGTACAAGTACCTGCACACAAACAGCAAACAAATGCACTGCAGAGGATGCCAAATGGAAGCTGATAAACTAGATCTTTACATTTTCTGAACAACAAAATACCGCTAATATTACCTAGTCGTTGACTTGCCTCTCCGTTCTCTTCTCTAAGAGAAAACTGTATCCAGATCACTACCTTTTAACTACGAGTGCCTCCCCGTCGCCCCTCAGTCCAGCCAATGAGAGCGTTTTCTACTGCATGGGCAGGTGACATACACTTGGCACAGGCCTGCGGATTTGATACCTGAGGAGAAGCCTAATGAGATGGCTTTAGAAAGTTAACTTATCAGTCCTTCTTATTCTCATGCATCTGTATCCCTTGTGTTATATCACTTAAAAAGGCAATTAAAGTGCAGATGTTTACACGCAAAAGTATATGCACATACACCTGTCTGTGTCCTGTTCATTCATTTTTCATATGACTATGAATAAACAGGAATTCATGTTTTGTGTCTGATTTTTTTTAAGCTCTCACAAAGTTTCACTAGCAAAATTGCATGCTGCACAATGTTAAACAAAGGTCGAATAAGTCATGATTTTCCCAAGGATCAAAGAGAATCAGAGACTTTTGGGGGATTTTTGAATGGTCTCAGCGGAGAAAACACTAACACTTGGGGGGCGAATGGTCGTGTATCCTAGACGCCTTCAAACCCTTCCATCAGACACACAGTCTACTTCCTAACAGTATAAATGTACAAAATTTGAACGAAGAAACCTCGGGTCAAAACTGCCTTCTACAGAAATGTGGCCTGAATTCTATGTAACTGGTCCATTTGGCCGAGGCTCAAAGGGAAGTTAAATGATCAAAGCAAATGAGACGTTGGCCCATGAAACAAAGTCATGGCAGTCTTTCTGCAGCTGTCCGTCAGGAAATCCAGCACTAGTGACTTTTATATCTCAGGGGGTTACTGACCAGAGTAACCCCAGAGTTGAGATGTTCATCTCGTACCTTGCTGTGTGATATGTCTCCCAGCGGTGCAATGACATCAGTGCCGATCCTAGACTTCTGGGGGCCCAATGCAAAACTGTGTCGGCTGGGGGGCGGGGTATGATTGGTTATGAACGAATTAATGAAACGCATTTGTCCATGTTTCACTCCGTCTCGAATAGCGCTCGCGGAAAGCGCTTGAGAAACATTGTCTCTTCCGCAGCACGGTACGCTTTCAACTCGTTTTTTTAGTCTCGAGCAAGACTACGACACATTCACATTACATGATATGACAGATTTTTTATGTAGAAAGGGCGGCAGCGCACCGCATTAAAAGAAATGATCATTCATGTTTTCATAATGGCTGGCCAAATTCAAAAACAAAACTAAATTTAAATCATCTTTGAGAGCAAGGGGGCCCCCTGGTGTTTCGGGGGCCCTACGCAGCTTGCGTATTTTGCGTATAGGGAGGATTGGCTCTGAATGACATCATTCAAGGAAAAAGCTTTTAAATTACACCTCCGGTGTTTGTCAGACCAGTAGTGTGTTATTAAAGCTTGACTGTGTTCAGACCAAGCGGCAACCTCCCGCTTTCTCTCGTGAAGCCAACAAGGAAGTGACTTTTGCTGGCTGCAAAAGGGAGTCAATCCCATAGACTCCCCATGTTAAAATGGCCAACTTTACAGCAGAAACAAACATGTTTACAGCCTGGTTCAAAAAATTATTTTGGTCTATATAGCTAATTTTGCCCTTCATGACAACTGTGAGGGGGGTGAATTTTTTTATAACTCATCCGTTTAAATTATATTAAGCCTTAAAGTTCTGCATAATTAAGGGTGTGGCCACTTGAGTGACAGGTGGATTGCCGCTGCTGTCACCGCTGTCGAGCTAGGTGGGCGTGGCTTCAGCAACCTGCTCCCGCTTCTTTGCCCATTTTCAATTATCCGGGAGTGACGCGCTGCCAAGATGGCGACGCCCACCTCCGCCCACTTTTGAGCTTCAAAAACGCTCTTCGGAAATCTACGGGTGACGTCACGGACACTACGTCCATGTTTTTATACAGTCTATGGTTCAGACCAAGGTTAGGGCATTTTAAACTGGCCATACATCTTCAACAACTTCCATATTACCTAAACTTTTACATTATATGGAGAAACGTGCTGCCACCACAATACTATGGTGTCGCTATAGTGTATAATGTCACCATCAGTGTAAGTCTTTGGGACTATTTGACTCCTGTTTTATTGTTGGAGCATGTGGTGTACCTGTGGGGAAAAAAGCATAAAAATGAGACAACCCCTGCTGACCCTTGTGACTGTTTCAAGGTCAAAGTCTTTCAAAGATTAGTTCATGTTGTAAAATTTCTTGTAATGTAAAACTCACTAAAAACATTTATTTATTAATTATTATGAATAAAAAGTATGATGATCAAAATAATTGTTGAAGTAGCCTATTTCTAGAAAAAAAGTTTTACCTTGAAAAATATATTTGACAACATATATTCAAGGTGTAAGAAAAATGTGGTATTCATTTTTATTTGGTTACACCACGTGACATTTTTAATCATTCAATTAAACTTTTGTTGAAAATCATATACAAGTTTTTCTAAATCATACGAAACAACTTGACAAATGTGTTTTAATGTTTCAAAACAATATTTTGTCATTGACCAAATCACATCGTACATGACGTAAGATAAGTTACAGTATATGCACCGAAACTGAATGATTGAGAGATGTACAAATAAACGTTACTCAAAATTGTATCAAATTTGATACTTGCATTTTTAAAATGCTTTTTCTAAAAAAAATGATGTATGGATAATGTAGAAGGCATGTAGTTGATTGTGTACAAGTAAAATCTTGATCATGTTGATAATATAGAGGCCTTAGAAATTGACGCATCAGATATGATACAGTAGGTTTTATTGGGTTAATAAATGTTTGCATAAGCTTGTTAATTCGAAATGATGTGGCAATTAAATAAAATTTAATTGTACGTATTTATGAATGAAAAAAATTTTTTTCAAAACCAGCTAAGGCAACTTGACAACTGTTTTTCTGTATCTTTTTATCTTTGTCATTGACCCATCAGTCACGTTGTATCACATGATGCAAGTCAAGAGGAGTGACCGTATGCACTGAAAATGAATATAGGCATACAGGTTTGTTGAAATCTCCAACTCTAACTATGAACGATGAACAGCACTCAAACAAACAGCGATGTGTTTTAGCTGGCATTACCCTCTCCACTTACAGCGCCCATTAGACTCGTGTAGCACTGTTTCTGTGGACACAAGAGCACCATTGGGAGATGGGAGGCTGTGGGCTGTTACCTGAGCCTGTATAGCCACCCTCTCGCTGCTGCTACACAGGCCATATGCATTAGCTTCAAGAGGCTCGAGGCTAAATGACATGCCCTTGTTGCCAGGTAGGCAAAATGGAAACCATTAGTCAAACCAAAAGATCCATTTCTCTACACCTCACTAAGCTTCCAGTACTGGAGCACCACAAAAATAAATCCCATTGGACTTCCGTGATGAAAATGAAATCAATAGGATGTGCATCCATTATTCAGCCTCTGGAAGGCTAACAGTACGGTAAGCACTTTTCTGCATCGCGGTTTTGCATCAGTTTATCCGTTACTGGCAGTGTGTTTACTTGTGGCATCCCTAAATGGATCCTTCACTTGACAAGCCTGTGCAACGTCATGTCAGGGCATGAAGTAAAATAACTGGTTTGAAATCGTTAAGGGTTTTCTTCAGTGTGTGGCATTTTACAAAAGACGAGGTTTTCAACGTAATCTTTCATCAACAAATGTGTTAACGCATATAGCAGTTTTAAATGGGTGGTTGGCATGTATTTTAACCATGTAAACCCTATCATATGAAATAATATTCAAAACAAGTCATTTTTTATGGAACAGTTTATTGAACCAAAGACAAAATATAAAAGAACAACTATATGTCTTTTATGTGTTATGATATCTGATGTCAGGCTTTTATGTTTACTAATATAGGAAAATATGATGCTCACAAAAATATAAAAAGTGGTGCAATGTTATTTACAAAAAGTAATTCTGAGAGTTTGTATATCTTTAAATAATTATTAAGATGATATGTTAATGCTTAGTTTTATGAACAAAGCTCTGTTTCAAAACGTAATCAATGCAATAATGATTGAGAGGTGTACAAATAAATGTTCAACAAAAGCCTGTTGTATTATATTTGACTCGCATTTTAACATTTATATATTCTTCTTTAAAAGATATATGATTGATGTAGAATGCATTTGTGTACAAGTGGTGTTTTCAGCAAAGATCATGTTGGTAATTTACAGGCCTTAGAAAAGCATGTATTAAATATGATACAGTAGATTTCACAGAGTTAATTCATTTCTGCCTTTGCTTGTTCATTTTAAATGGCCTTACAGTGTGGCAAATTACTACAATAATTAGGAAAAAATAGTTTGCTTTTAGGTGAACTAGAAAGCTATGGATAGCTGTATGCCTGACATTCAATATAAACTACCTAAATATTCTTCCAAAACGTTTTATCAAATTCATTTGCCCTGGTTTTGGATTGGTTGCTTTGAGATGCCATTTCACCAGATAGGCCTATGTAGCCTATATTTAGCTTAACATAAACAACAGACAATGGACAACCATATTAAATATTCTAAAAATAAATAAATATATAATAATAATATGTAATTACACCCATGAAATGTCTAAAGGAAAGGAATATTAGGTAAACTATTTGTCTGCTATTAATCAGACAAGCCAATGAAAAAAAAAATCTACTAAATGTTCTAAAAATCCTGAAATTGATTTACTGACTAACTAATTGATTTTATTCGACATGACTGATATTATACATATAAAATTTACTCCAAAAAGCCAAGGCACAAGGTACAAATTAGAGAGGCGGGGCATAGAGGACCTACAATAATGTACAGTATTTGAAAAATAATGTGTTTTTTGAACATTAAAGCATGTCAACATATTCTGTTACACCAAATACACAAAATAATGAT